ACGCTATTCATTGCAAAAACGAACTATCAAAATCGGTAACGTATTGCGTAACATACCACAAAATAAAGACCCTTTTCTCATGGAAGTTGCTTTAAAATGGACAAAACTCATCCAAGCGCTTATAAACTTATAAGCGTGTTTGAGTTTATAAGTATTTGCATAATTAAAATTTGAATTTAACGCATCTCATTATTCTCATTTGAGTAAATTGCGTCATCAAGTCGTTGAGTCACTATCAATCCACTATTGGTCAATTTATTTACATAGAATGACCAATCAATGAAGGTGGAGAGGAAAATTTACATATGTCGTATGTACTAACAATCACAAATTGATAGTAAACAGTTTATATTAATGAAAATAAAATCGTAAAACTAAACCTATTCATGATCCATTAAATATTATTACATGCAATCGCTTATTGCTTTGTACAAATTAATACAATTCAGTGACAATCAATTTATAAATTCGGCTTCCGTGATAGTCATAATATTCTTATCAATTTGTTAGTGGTTTTAAAATGTTTAGTCCTTATTATTTCCTAATTGCTGATATGGAGTGGTTTTATGGTTCTTTATATTTTGTTTTTAATGCTTCTAAGTCTTAATAAATACTTTGTTATACGTTATAGTGATATGTATCTTTATAAAGACTTAATTATTAAACATTTACTCATATTGATGGGAAATGATTATTTTAAATATGTATTTAACATGTTTTAAAAATAAATAAATAGGTATAATTAGAAGATTATATCAATTTTTTAAACGATTTCCAAGTCCTACGATAATACGTAAACAGTAGTTTACGTAAAATATTCGTATTGAGAATTATTATGTTCTCAATTATGTATATTATACTATATTTTTAATAAGGCGTCCATTAGTGTGTTTTATCACATTTAAATTAATCGTAACTGTTTTTCGTTGAGCGAACTGTATTTGCTATAATATAGTAATGTAAATAAATCATAATTTGTATCGCAAATAGACTTTTGAATAGATTACTCCGTATAAGGGACTATACGTTTATTGAATTTAACTTACATTATAAATGTTTTTAAATATTTAATTTAAAGAAAAAATATATAAATTCTAAGAACTGTCTAAGAAGAAATCAATAAAGACCTTGACAGGGAGAAAATAGGGTTTGATAGATGATCGTTCCTTAACCCTCGCGGTCCACAGTGTCTATAGAAATAGATGGTTATAAATTTCATGTGCCACGACATTTTTATTATAAATGTGTTCTGTCAGATTAGATATGAAAACAGAATGACAAAGAAGACACATTATAACGCCATGTCCCTACAGTCTATTTTTATTCCTTCATGAGAAAATACCGTTAAAGTTCAAAATGTACAGATATTTGATTAGTTAGGTTAATTCGTTCTATAAATTCTTGTAGTTATGCTTTGTTAACGTATCCCTAACAAGAACTATGGAAAGTAACAAAAAAACTACAGTAGTAAGAAGCCATTTGAGGATTATCTATGTACCAAATTTAATTAAATTCCTTTAACCAGTTAAGCATCACTGAGCAATAAACATCCAAACATATACTTACATTTTCGAATATCCTTGCAAAATTTAACATTTATAACATTAATAATAAAATCCGTTAATTGTTAATAAGAATGAGTTAAAGAAAAGAAAATATTTTTATGAAAATCATTGGTCGTTGTCCGTTTATAAAAATCGTTGACGTAAAATAACATGTGTATTCACCTTCAACAAAACATCTGTAGTTTGTACTTAGGAGCACAAAACATGTATTAATGTGCATAATGACTCAATAATAGTCTTTTCTAATAAATAATGTATGAAATTGTTCTGATGATGACATATCGCTTTGCATTTATTATTTTAGTATAAAAATAATGATACTACGAAAATTACTACAAAATAAACTTGATCTTCATAAAAGCAAGAATAATCAAAATATGTAGTATATGTGTGTATACCTATTGTTGGCATAGATTGTTTGTAGTCTCGGTTGAGTGGGACTTCATATCAAACAAACTAAACAATGCATTGTGAAACTAATCGACGCTATGTGCCTAAAATAGCTTTGTTTTGTGTTTCCATAAGGATATTGATTATGCCTTTTTCTATAAAATATAATGAGATAATTACCTTGTTATATAAAAGATATTGAATTCGTAACAAAATTCAGATCCAGATATTAAAGTATAAAAGAAACGTTTAATTTTGTATATATACGCTTTATATTAATTTTTTTTTAAATACGAAATTCTACAGTACTAGTACAGATTAGTTTCCTTATTTTATTATAATGAAATTGTATAATATAATCAAGTAATTTAATCTATAAACTTTATTAGCAATGGAGAGTGTAATAATAGCATTCCATTTTAGTATAAATTCAATAAATTTGAATAATGCAAGAATATAAGTGTATTTCTTTATAGATTTTATCAATCCACTACAATCCTTATATATTTATTCCTTCCAAAGTTGAATTTCGTCAATATCAAAGGTCAGTTACAGAATAATTTATTTTTATTTTTTATTCGGCCGGATATTTGTTAAGTGCATTCATTTCCACTCTTTCAACAGAAGTTCTATATACAGTGTAGACATTATTTGCCATAAAATTAATAACCTCGCAGGCCTCATTGACGTCAAGTCTTGTTAAAAATATTTTTCGTCCAATTTTGTTGTCTCTAAAACGAGTTTTATAAGGTATATAATATAACGTATCTATAATATAAAATTATATTAATGTAATTTATGTATAATTAACGAAATGTGCTTTAAGATAACGATTTTCCCCACGGTTTTTCCCACGGTTTTCCCCTCAGGAATAAGTTTTTACTGTTCTTGTGTTAATGTATACTATTGTGTGTTTCTATACTACTTCAATACGTAAAAATCTTTTGTATGATATATAAAATGGAGAAACTGGTAATCTGATGGTAAATATGGTTATTTTTTCTTACAAGGCTTAGCAACATGATCTATTCCTGTAATTGTGAACCTGTTTTGTAACATACAAACATAACACATAATTCCGATTTATAAAAATCTAAAATAGGGAATTAAAATGTAGTTAGCACTAAAAATTACATTATTTTAATTTAAAAAGCATAATATCGATTGCAAAGTATTTTATGAGACATTTATCCATTGTAGCATACGGAGCCTAAAATCGACCTGTGGGTTACACCCATACTCATAAAAGATTTCTTAGACGTTATACTGTTTCCATATATTTCTTGAATGTTTTAAGCTATGTCATCATGATAATCACCTACTAACAAGTGTTAAGTATGTACGTTTGTCACTTAATTTGACATGAGTATTAGTGAGCCAAAATGGTGTAAAATTTAATAAATATTTAAATGATGCCATGGAAAAATTTCATAATATATATTTAAATTTATATATGAGTGACACTGAGTTTTATAAGAAATAAGTTATTTTATTCTGTCATTGGGTTTCGGCTTGCTAAACTCTTTACGACTAATCCTATTTTTTTTTCTATAAATATATTATTTATATATTATTATTACTTATTAAATTATTTAAAAAATTGTGGTAAAAAAATCTACTTAAAAAGACCATTTGGTTTCATTGTAGTTAAAAAAGTACGATAATATACAAGGCGTTTTAAAAAGGTTATATCAATATGAAACCTAGTTATAAAATTTGATAATTTTCCTTAGTGGAAGATTCTTCGTGTTAATGTTTACATTTTACGCAACTAAGGTTCAGAATTATTGGAGGTGTCATAGAACATACTCGAAAAAATGTGAATTAAAAACTTCTTTTTTGATATCGCTTTTATCACGAATAATAAGAACGATCCGTAATCACATTTGGCATTCGCTAAATGTTCTGAACAAATATAATGTGTAGTGGCGCGAGTGGGTGTCGAATGTCGATATCAGAACTCGAGAAAGTGCTAGGGCTCAAGTAGTCTATCACGTGAAGTACATTTTTATACCCATTATTATTAAAATCATACAAAATAAGTTGAAAATATTAGCCAAGTAGGCAATAGAATACGTTATGATGTTATTATTTCAAATATTTTGATATGTTTTTAATTTTAAAATTTAAGATTTTGTTTAATAAAGAAAGCAGGAACTAAACATAATTCATATTATAATGCTAATATTAGAATAATTAAATAATCGATAGCAAATATAAATTTTAAAATTGGCAATAATGAAATACACAAAAAACACAGGCGAATTGACCACCACCCAATACCAGTAGTAGTAGTAGGACCAATGAAACCATTTTAATTTTATATTATATTTTATGATATAACGGAATATCCAATTAGCAATGAACTGTGAGTAGGCTCGTGAGATATTGCTAACCTTAATCGTAATAAGAGTCTGTCCAACTGTGAGTCTCATCTGTAGAAAAAACTAAAAGAAGTCCTGAAAGTAATTTGGGTTTTCTTGCAACAAAATTAGTAAAGTAATAAATAGTGCTACCATCTATATTGCTTACAGTATTAACGGGTACTTTATTACTTTATTTATATATCTCTTGTACAGAATTGTAGTTATTGACGTTTTTTTATTAATATACTTTTAATCAATTCATCGAACTCGACTTTTAATAAACCTTGTAATAACTAACAAGACAAGATTAAATAAAAATTAATGTCATGGTTACGCTAGTTTAATATCGTCCTCGATTCTCATTCTGCAACACAGCATATACACTTTACACATATCAATTACATCTATGATTAAATATCACGTGATTTCTTGTGACAACTGTCACGCGGCGTTCTAAATGTTGTGAGTCGATGTATATTGATTTCACTTTCTCATACCAAAGCAAAACCCCGCTAACACGACTCACAAATTGCTTTTTTGTTCAATTATTCGGTGAAAGACAGCTGAAACATGGTTTATATTAAAGATTTTTAGTTTCTATTTTTTGGTTTACGTTTTTTTTTCTTGCTGTCACGGGGAGGGGTATGTAACTACATTTTTTTCTTTTCTTTCTTTTCAGTTACATTTGTACGGGCGCATGTAGTCTTTCACTGGGCCGGTGATGGCTACGGATGACATTGGTTTAGTGATTTGGCTCTGTGAATCGTGTTAGTGAGTGCTTGAGTGTGCAGTAGACTGCAAAGTTCAGTCTTGTTATTGTTGTCAGTGATGTGACAGTCTATGGAAGTGTCAGGGTATCGGAATGTTCACGAAGCACGGCAAGGCCGCTGAGCGGTGCTACCCTCATTCGCATAGAGGTAGAAAGAAGAAAAAACCTGCCCCTCACACGCCGTGGAAGTACTTGATGAATTGCCCACTCGTTAGAAAATGTTTTGGTACGGTATTTATTTTATTTTTATTAATTTTTAAATATTATTTTAAGTAAGAAATGAATTCAAATTGTAAACATGTCAAGTCTACTGATTTCATCGGAACGTTTATTAAAGATTGAAATATAATACGTTAGAATCTAAAAGATCATCACTTGACATTGACCCTTGGAAAATTCCGAATCTAATCTGTATTTATACACAACATTAGTAGAAAATAAACAGTGATTATTTATCCACAACAATTCAATGTTTTTGTATTAATCATTTGTCTGGAAACCAGATGGATTATATCATTAAGAAAGGGAAACTTGGATTCATAGCAATCTTCAATTACGCTTTGTTGAAGTTTGGGTTATCGGGCACATTTCGGAAATGTTTGACCTTTTGGATATAATTGGTGGGCATGATTATTTGAATTAAACTGAATTGTCTATTTAATATATCAGCTGAGATTTTTTAGAATTGAATAAAAAATCTTAATCATATTTTAATATAGATCAATTTATGAGAATGTATTTTTTTATAATTGTGCGTTTTGTAATAGTAATTTCGTCGTCACATGAAAATAAAATTCGAATTGTCCAATGGGAAGTGAAACCGAAGGTTTAATAAGTAAATAAGTATTTAATTTGAACCTACGTGTTATAATTTTAGAATATTGGGAGACGAAGGAGGACGTATGAGTAAAACAGTCAGTAATATTCATGTTTATGTTGTGCAGGAATTGAATCCGCGACCATTGAAAGATAAAACCGTTACAGTACAAAGGTCGTCATAATAGTTAATTGTTTGTTCTTGATATTAACGTGTCATCGTATATGCTACATATTTTTAAAATTTATTTTTCACATGTGTGCAAACTGTGGCCTGTTATTACAGAAAAGAACATAGCTACGTTTGCAATATTTATTACTGAGGTGTGTCTATGACAGAAATCACTGAATCGACGGCCGATGAACGTACCCGACCTTCAGCGGCATTCCACTGACGCGTCGATACATCGAGCGACTGGTCGGGACGATTGTCTTCCATTCTCATTGTTATTAATCGTTTTCATTTTCTTTTTAAATCCTTGATGTTATTGATAGTGCCAATTTTATTTTGTCTCAGTTTATGTTAATTGTCTGTAACTGCAATTAATTTACTGTTTGTAATATGGACTAGGTGTTTTTCCATTATGTTTTTTCATTCATGCTAATTTAGTAATGAGTACGTGACTGTCATTAGTGATACGTAATTTTTCTATTAGCAACACAGAATACACGTGTCAAAGTAAAACTGTTAAAATATTTTAAATTTTTCTTCTAAACGAGACGAGAGTCCTAGTTTCAACTGCTACATTAATTTAAGTCAGTTACTGTCAATGTATTAGTAATTTATTAGAATGAGGCTTATAACGAGTAAATTCCATCTCGTGAAGTTAATAAGAAGTATTTGTAATGTTTATTTATCCTTTGTTCTTTGATTGGAAAGCAATAGAAAATGACCTCGGGGAGGTATCAGTCGATACCTTTGATTGATCGTCTCAAAAGGAACAATACTTTTCCACTGTGTATCCGAGAGAGGATTGGAAAATTCTCGGGAATTTCACGACTCGAGTTGAAGAACAACTGAAATATATATGGAAGAAATTGTAATTATTAACGATCATGTTCATCGCTTTGATGTGATAAGACGAAATAAATTAGAGTAAACACAGTTACCCAATATAATATAAATTGCAGATATTGAAGTGCAATAGTGTATGTAATTAGTGATAAAAAAAGTACCTAAGTTTTTACTGTCGTCGGGCAAAAGTCAAGCAATTTAGTGTAATCTTTATATTGAGTTCCGATTTAATATCGCTGCCAATTATATCACAAATGTTACAAAAGTTACCAAGGAGACACAAAAGAGCTTACAAATCTGGGTATATACCTACAGAAAAATATGAGAAGTAGTAAATATGATCGATAGATACAACAATTTTCGTCACAATTCCTAATTCTGTAACAAACGCTATTTTACTAATTAAGAAGTATCAAAGCATGCAACGTAATTGATATACTCTAGTTAAAATAAGTAAATGTTATACAATTATGAAATGCAAATTGGTTGCTGTTATGTACATGTATATGGTATGTTGTTGTTATATCAACATGACGTGAACGTACCCAATAAGTAGAAAATAGTTAAAAACATATGAAATAATTTAGCTAATAATGCAAACTTAGGTATATTATTATAAACAGACGTATATTACTAAAGGGCAAGCTGAGGTGCATCAATCAATCGGTAGATTTGTTGAGTGAATTCACTTGTTGCGCTTTGGCAATGACAGCCAGACTATCTCGGGGTAGCGATTTGTTCCATTACGTTACGTTAGGCAGAGCCTCCAACAAACTAACAAATACAATTAGTAGACTAACATTAGCAATACATTTTATATCAAATTTAACAGGTGTATATAACTACGAGCAGAAAAAAAAGAAGCTGTAGCACTGACTGATAAAAATCTACAGTTTTTTACAAACATTCTTTGGGTACCTGATAAGAAAGAATTTGCCTAAATTCAGGAATAGGAGATAACTAGCAATGCACTGACAAACTCGCTTAAATTATAAGAATTGGAGTTCTGCTTTTATAGCACATTGTTCTGAATTAATGACGATAACGAAATTGGAACATTGAATTTATGTACATAAACATAAGTTTTAATTTTTACATAGACCTTGTAAGAGTTATATATATATATATATATATATATATATATATATATATATATATATATATATATATTACTGCATCATTTATATTTATTCTACGAGTACCATTGTTTCGTTACATTCATTCCTTTTGAATTTCGCCGTTGCACATTTATATATTGGGATACTAATGTGCTTTCGTATTTTTTTTCTAAGAATAAATAATTGTTATTTTGTGAAACTGACAATTCTCTTGAGATGTTAAAACGTTGCCATATATATTGCAATTACAAGGTGGTGATACTTAATACTTTCTTGGTAGATTTTAATTTTTAATTCTATGTAGTACAAATTTAAATAAGTATTTCTTGGATATCCATATATTACCATACGTAGTATATTATTAGTTTAGTATTATATGAACTATCCAAGATTAAACAAATATATTTATTTTAATAGGTAAATTCCAGACAAATATACAAGACTTGATTATGCTGCGTAACTGAAGGCGTCTTTGCCAATACTGTAAAAATTACATTTTAACGAGATCTTAATGTTTTGTCGCTTGTGGAATTTATTGCCTTTGGCGCCAGCTACTGGTGCCATCCAAAGATTAGTTGCTGTTTTTACTTATAATTTCATTTAATCATGAGACTTAATGTAATCAAGGATTAGCTCTCTGAATATTCGTAATAAATATTATTATATAAATATTTAATTATTTTTTTGTTTGTGGATATATAAAGTGTATTGTATGATAATGATGATGTAACTATCCAAGTAGTTTTTTTTTTGTGAAAAATTCATTTATTATTGATAATGAAACAACTATAGTAAATGAACAAAACGATGTACCAACATAAAAAGGAGGTTCATTTTCAGAAATGAAATTGCTAGAACTTAGAAAACCCGGGTGTATTATAGTTATTATTTTATTTTATTATTCTAATGCTGGTTTACCTATTCTTATCATAAACATAGTTTTTATTCTCTAAGGAAATTGGTTTCTACACGTGACTACAGGTGACCTACATGTTATTGACATTATATTGGATAAAACCTTTCTGCTATTTTCCTTACCTCTATATTTTCGTTCGGACCAATGGTTTGAACTTTTTGAGTATCTAAAAATACACAATCTATGGTGATGTTAGTCTTTTGGTATAAAGATTTTTTTAGTACTCAATATTAAATAAATCTTTATACTAATACTAGTTGTATCCCGCGGCTTTGCCCATGTGAATCAGTGTATAAAGTATCTTATGTCCTAAGTTAGGATATAACCTACCCGTATACTAAATTTTATTCAAATCCGTTCAGTATTTTTTACGTGAAAGAGTAAGAAACATCCATCCATCCATCCATTCTTACAAACTTTTGTATTTTTTTTATACCGCGAAGGTAGCAAACCAGCATACAGCCCGACGGTGGTAAACGGTCACTGTAGTCTATGGACGCCTGCAACACGAGGGGTGTCACGTACGCGTTACCGACCTTGAAGAAACTTTAATATACCCTTTAGAAAGAACTCCAAACTGTATACCCATAGTCTCTTATAGTAACTCTCTCTCTACTATAGTCCGTCTTTATGATATTAATAGGATTATAAATGAGTGAGTTTGTTTATTTATTATTTCAACCAATCTTTTTTATTCTTTGTGTCTTTATCGTCCAATAAAGCCGTTTATATATATTTTTTTGTGTATGTTACGTGATATCTTTTCCGATTCAGTAGGATTACTTTTGAAATCAATTCCGATCGACCAATATTGGAACTGCGATGTTTCGTGCTCACGAATTGCAATACTAGCGACGTGTTGGTTCCGTATTGTGTTATCATTGAACAAAGTAAAACCATGTTAGTTTTGTTATTGAAAAAATTGTATTGAATAAACAATACATTGACGCTCTTTTGGTAGATACTTATACGTAAGTACTAATGCGAATGTGATTACGAGTATAATTCCAGTGTGATGTGAATTACAATAGTCATTGGCAGTGTAGGGACCAACATCTCCCGTGTTGTCCCCATATTTTAATTTTATCAATATTGATAGTATTTTTTTGCACAGAAATAACATTTTTGCAGTATCTATCTCATGAGTCACGAATTACGTTTCATCTTCAGGAGCTACTAAAAAATTTTAAAATTTCGTTCGTATTACATTTAAGACGTGCACTTGAGTGTAAATCAAGATTTTTCTTAATACCTACCTACCTTATAAATGTTTATTAGTATTCGGATCGAGTACTCCAGATTGCGTTACCTTGTCGCCTGTAGGCGCTTTTGTCTCATTGCATATTGCAATGCCCCCGGTG